GCAAAGTATCAAACCTTGCAGATTCTATAATTATAGATTTTTTTTTATTGAATTATGTGATTTATGCTCATTAGCTAACAAAACACAAGTTAGGATCTACACACACTATACTGCTCTCTAATTTTGCCCTATTTGAATTACTGCACTGTAGTATGGGGTAGTACCTATAAAAATACTTTAAAGCCGTTGGTGATATTACAAAAAAGAGCTGTGAGACTAATTCATAGAGCCGGGTTTTTGGACCACACAAACTCCTTATTTTTAAAATCAAAAATAATGAAGTTTTGCGACATTTTTGAGTTCCAGTCAGTACAGATGTTATACAAAGCAAGGTACAAACTGTTACCAAACCAAATACAAAGTAGATTTCTTGAGCGTACTGGATGTTATGGATTACGAGGGGAACTAAACTTTAAATCACAGAAACATAGGACCACTTTGAAAAGTTTTAGCCTGACAGTTAATGGCATTCAACTGTGGAACCAATTAGAGACGGCAATGAAGCAATGTCCAAACATTATCTTGTTCAAGTATAAATATAAACAAAAGATCTTTGAAAAATATAGAGAAATATTGGGTCACCACTAGGGGGTGCAGTGCCATCAATGAATAGCTATTGTTCAAATTGAGTGTTGCTGCTTGGAACATAAGTTATTTATTTTGTTCAAATTCCAGTAAGGAGAAATAGGGCGAGCTGTGCATCCGTTGAGAGGTACCTCCTCCCAAGGGATCACACATCTTTTAATGCATCACTCAGTATAGAAAGACAAGAACATTTAAAGTTTACATTTACAAGAGCAGCTGATAGGGCAGCTGGGTGGGGTCTGTTGGTGAGGAGTCACTGCCGTCTCCAACTGGCTTTACACCCTGGCTTTTTATCGCACAACACTACATAGGGTCACTGCCTACTCTGAAAAAAAAAAAAAAAAAAAAAAAAAATAAATAAAAAATAAATTAAATAAAATACAAAAATAATAATAATAATAAATAAATAAATATAAAGAAATATTCTGCTTTCTAGCTGCAACATCTCTTTTTTTTTGAGCGAAATAGGTTTAATTTGTTCACAGTAACTTGCTGTCAGTATATTTAAAATAATAATATGGTGATATTGTGTCTCTTGCTTTGTGGAGATCTGTCTTAACCAGACTGTTGTTGTGTCTCACTCTGGTAATAAGATTAAGAACAGTTCAAAGTATATTGAAACTGCCTTGAAACATAAACTTAAAATCTATTTTGTCCTTTTGTCAGTGAGTCCTTCTGGTCTCTCTCTGGTAAGTAAAGTCAAAGTTAATGTCATGACATATTCTTTACTCTGTAAATTGATAAATTGATTGTGATTGTTCTGTTGTTCAGTATGAGCAGATGTAGCTCTTGTGTGCCTTTATATCCCTGTTCTGAACTATATTCAATATGTAAATTTCGATTGTAATTAGCTTTGGGGTGCGGTGCTAATAAGCTTTTGCTTCAGCCCACTCCTTTTGTGCAGTATTAATACTGTTCAAATAAATAAAAAAAAACAAAAAAAAAAAAAAAAAAACTTTGTACAAGAGGACCTTGTGGGAATCCAGAGATGTCCCCTGCCCGGTTAAGGTATCTAAACCAGTTTCCCGAGACACCTCAACTGGCACCACTCGATGTAGAGGTGCAGCAGATCAACTAGGTGTTTTCTTATACATTTACAATCCCCAAAATGGAAATATGTCCTCTGCATTTGACCCAAACTGCAATGCTACAAGGGCCTCTCTCAGAAGCAGTGGTCGCCCATCTCCAGCTTGGTCAGGACTACCGGAGAATTTGGCCTATTATACATGTTATTCAGTGGTTGGGGAAACCAGAGCACCCGGAGGACATCTACGCAGACACGGGGAGAACATGCACACTCCATTTGTTCAGGATGCAGACCAGGACGTTCTCGCTGAGAAGAGAGTGCAAGCTACCGCCCTACACCGAGCTCCTACCAAGTGGCTGAGTAGCACAACCTACCACTTACTGAAGAGCTTTGCCTTTTAGAATCAGAATCATGTTTTTTGCCGTGTAAGTAACAGGGAGTCACAGAATAAGAAATCGCTTAGGCTCTTGGTGAAAACAAGTCAAAAGTAGAGAGGTAGAGAATAGAGTGGAATCAATATACTTTTGACCTAGCTTAATAACTAAAGTCAGCAATCACTTCACTGCATCTGTCCATACTTCCCTCACTCGTGAACAAAATGTCTCTAAAATTTAACCTTGAAAATGGTTATGTGTATATATCCACTTATTTGCTGAGAGGCTAATTATTCTGCACACTTTTAATTTGCTCAAGCTATAGGTTAATTTCTTCTCTAATTAAAAGTAGCACGTAATTACAAAAAGGTACTGTATACTTCAACACTCCCTTTAATGGGTCTTGTCTGGCAACGCCGTCAATAGCAACAGCCGAAGACAGAACCAGGGCCGTAAAAAGACCATTCTGATTGATGAACTCAAAGTGGCAGATAGCACCCTTGCACAGAGAGTGGTCCTAAACTCAAGTACTTACAAATGAAACGGTAGCGAACTTCAAGGTAAAGCCAAACAGGAAAAAGGAAACAACTTTGAAAAACACTAGCATTTTCAGGCAGTCATTTTGAAGCAGGGATAGGATAGTGCTTTTAGATGAGTGTGTTCTCTCCATCAGTCTGTTTCTCCCAGAGTCTATAAGGAGAAAGCAAAAAGTGGAAGTATGCGCTTGTCCGCTTTGATATGCACTTTGCACAAATTAAGAAGGTATATCTAGGGGAGGGCTGAGAGTAAAGGAGAAACGGCAAGAGCCATGGAGGAAGTGGGCATCTCGAGTGTTTTTTGAAAAGGTTGTGTATACATGAGAGGAATAGAGGGAGAAGAGGGGAAGAGTTTGAGATAGGAGAGGTCTGAGGAGAGGCAGTGGAGAAAAAATAAAGGATTGCCATAGAGATTTCAGACATACAATTGTTTTTTTTTCTCCTTGAGAGCCAAATCAAAGCAGTGAGACTTTGCTTGATGAAGCTATTCATTTTGATTAGATAGCAGACAGATGCTTGTGTAAGAGTCCTGTATATACCAGCTCTGTTCCTACAGTTTGAAATGCTTCTGATTTGATGATATAGGAAGACTCATTTTGTGAACACGCATGTACATCCCTTTTTGGCAGCTTTGTGGCTTTAATGGTGGCAGATGGCTTGAGTGTAGGCAGAGAATGCATGGTTGAGTGGACATGTTATTGTTTGGACAGGATGTTTCAGTTTTGAACGTCACAAAGGCAGACAGGTCTTATGTCGTACAAAGATGTTTCAAAGAGTGCCATAAAATGTACGACTTTTAGAATGATGTTTTTTATTGTTTTGTTTGTATGGTTGGATGTGTTTCTGCTGCTACTGGACACCTGAATCAATAAAGTATCTATCTACAAGAGAACACACAATGCTTTACTTTTGGACATTAAAGATGATAATGAGACAGTTGATGTTTTTTTTTAGAATGTGGAATATCATCTGAAGTAGAAAATATATGGAGATACATTTTTGCCATTAACATGTTTGCACACTTTTTTCTTTTGCACAAATCTTGAGTGATTCTATCCATGCCAAATGTGACATGTAAATGTATCCTTTGTGAGATCACTAAAGTCTATCTTATCTTATGTATTAAGGGGAAAAAATGTTATCCCACTGTAACTCCCGATACTACCACCAGAGGGAGGAGCTGTTTTGTTTTTGTCAAACCCTAAAATTAGCGGCAGCAAATTGGAAAAAACATTGTATTTATGGCCAGAAAACTACTCTGAGTGTGATGTCATGGTGGTACAATGACATCATACCATTACAGGACTGAGACTGAGGACTGAGGAGCTTTAGATAGAAAGGGGCGGGGTCACATTTTTGTCCCAAAAGTTCCTGTTATTTGCCTGTGCGGATACAAAAACCACTCCAGGTCGGTGACTGATGAGGAAACTGCATTGATACATGGTTAAAAGAAGTTGATCTACCATAATATGTCTCCTTTAGTATTCCATTGATACATCATGGTCCAACAAATAATGGGATCAGTGAGAAAACTTGACATTAGCATATAGTCAGGGGTGCACATAACTTTTTCAGTGAGGTACTGAGATGAGTACCAGGAGATGGTATTTGGTACTCACTCACACATTTGTCACATGGTTCTTAATCGTGATTTTAAACTTGCTTCTTTTTAATGCTAAAGTTCTGATCAGCTCAGATAATCCACTCAATCCAAGTCAAGTAATGACTCACAGGTTTCTTTCTTAGAAATGAAAAAAAAAAAAATTCAAAACAATGTTCTGTTGGATTTGTTCACAACATATTACTTTTGGGCACAACCAACATTATTTTGCATTGTTAATGCAAAGGAAAATGTAGGTACCATAGCTTTAATTTAGAGACAGATAGAGAATGGATAATGCGTGTGGATGTGACATATGAATGGAAGGTGGGGAAAAAAGGGTGCGCGAGTGTGGAATGACGTTTGTGTGCGTGCCGGTGTGTGTGGCGCGTGCAGCATGAAAGTCAGCCTTTAGTATAATACTGTATTCGTGCACGTAGCTAGAAATGGACCTGCGCCGTCTCACTGGCATTGCACCACGCCCCCCTAGGGAGGAGCCCCCCACTATTTGAGAAGGACTGGTCTATGGTCTATGTCAAGTACGCAAAGGCGCTTACTCAAGTGATGGTACACATTTCTGATATTTGCCGCGCATGCGTACCTGCGTACCACTTATGTGCACCCCTGCATACATGGATAGTTGATCTTGGCATTTATCTCATCAACTTTCAATAGTAAAAATAACTCAAATTTATTTTTATAGCACAGTTCGTATATATAAAGATAGATATTTTATTGATCCTGTAAGAGAAATTCAGGTGTCCAGCAGCAGAAAACAAACAAACATAAATTAATAAATATAGACAAGGCACCTCAAAGTGCAATAAAATCATACAAAAAGTAAATTCTTAAAAATATTTCAAAATACGGTGTTGTACCTGTGGCGTTTCCGTTGATGGATCCAATGTTGCTTTCATCTTCAACTGCAAGAAACAGAAAAGTATGATAAAAGTACTGTAGTACATTTTTCACTGTTTCTCTAATAAGTTTTGAAACCGCTTTCCACATGTTGCTTTTGGCTCCTGAGCTTGTCAAACTTTGAACTCATATCTCAACAGCATTTTTTTTCTCTCCAACAAATACAATTCAGTGTGGTCTCGTACGATCATGGAACAAAACCTTCATCACATTTGCTACACAAATTCTTTCAGTTGAAATATAATCCAGAATGAACAAATGCCATAATATATTTTGAGCCAGGGCTGTAGAGAACTGGAGAAAGTTCTCTAGGTGGTAAAGCGGGTTGGCAGTGATAGTGAGAGCATAATGTGGAACTATGGAAAGACAGCAAAGCGACAGCACACATCTAAAATCAAAAGATAATGGCACAACAGAAGCGAACAAGCAAAATGTCAAACTGTACTAATTCTAAGGTTAATGATATCCATCCATCTTCTTCCCCCTTGTCTATTACTTGCAGCAGGGGCATCAGGCAAAGTGTCCTGCCCAAGGTCACAACGGCAGCAGACATCAGTGGGAGTCAGTGGAGAAGGTCTCATGGTGCGTTCAGGCTCAAAGGCCACTGTTGCCCCATTCAAAAGTTAGATATTATGTATTGAATTAAGCGATTTATGCTCCTTAGCTAACAAAACACAAATTAACCTGAGCCACTTTTGCAAAAAGTTTCCAAATTATTTCACTTGAAATACAATACAGAATGAACAAATGCCATAATATATTTTGAGTGGGAGACAAAGCTGATAGGAAACATATTAGAGCTATCAGATTGCAGCTGTTCATCAAAGCTGATTCTTTTGGAGCAAAGCAAAGTACTCATTGTCTTGAATAATATGTTTGTACAATGATTGCCTCACTCTCCCATGATTTTGAATTGTCAAAGGTGATTTGTGGAACTAGTTTTAGCGTACACTTCAAATGACTTTGAACAAAATGGCCTGATAACTCAGAAATGTGTCATCTGGCAATGGGGAAAACAAATGCAAGAACGCTCAGTTAAACAAATGTAGATGGTAAAAACTGAGCAAAAACTTTATGCACAAAACACAACTAGGGCTAAGTTAAATGGCTGCTAAGCTGATAGATTAATCGCAACTAATTGATGATTTAAATAGTCAACGCATAGACTTAGATAGACTTCAACTTCCTGAGACGAGGTTTTAAGACTAAAATAATTATTTATATCTCTAATCTCTCCAGGGGAATCACAAATGTCTCACAAAAGAATAAATGGCAAACTAATTGTATTCATTTTTTGGGATGGATGGATGGATTTGTTTCTGTTGCTACTGGACACCTGCATTTCTCCCACGGGGATCAATAAAGTATCCATCTATCTATCAATCTAATGGCTTTTCAAAAAATATGTTAAGTACAGCCCACCGCAATTCCTTGAATTGAAACTTGATAATGAAAGTAGCCTTAAGAATATCTATACAATTCTACACCAGTAAACTGTGACACACAAATATATGTTTTTAAAGTCCAATAAAATGCCTTTAACAATGCTTGTTTAATCTTCTTAGAAGAAATAAAGGTATTTGGTTCTTCTATTTTGAGGGCACTCGTTTAAATGAATGGGGCTCGTGCCGGCTGACGCATGCGCAGATGCGTTTTTTCACATTTTCCAGCCCCCGCAGCCATTTTGAAACTGCCCATAGACGGCGAAAGTGATGGCATTTAGTTAGAACTGCGAAGATAGGCGTGACTACGTCCGTTAATATTTATAGTCTATGGTCATTACATCCCGATACTTTTGAAACATGTCATTGCTACCTTACTGTGCTGTCTCCCAAAAACGTTTACAGTTATTTTACAGTGTTGCACTACCCTCTAGTGGTGAGTCTGTTTACGACATGTTTTGTAAAAGGAAGTTGTTCGGCCGCCATCTTTGTTGTGTGAAAAGTAATGAACACATGCAGTAGTTGCTGTGGGTCTGCTCTCTGCTCAGAGTGCAAAATAGCTTCCACGGAGTTTTTAGGAGCATATGCCTGTAAGTGTTGTTTATTGAAGGTGTTGTGTACCAACAGATCTAATGTAACCATGTTATTGTTATGCTAAACGGTCGCGATAGTTATGCTAATTAGCCGCGGCTAAGCTAGCGGACTTTTCCCCATTATTTTTGCATATTGAAATTAGCTGCTGTTGCTATTAGCTGATACTAGTTTCTGTTACAAGCGTTTTATAAGCTATATTTGTCACATACTGTCAGCTGTTTTCTATGCAAATACTGACTGCATTTTTACGTTTGTTATTTTCAGTTTTACAACTTTTGAATGGAGCAATAAACATAGCTCAAAGTCACTCAGCATTGTCTTCATGTCAAGTCTGTTCGCTATCTGCCAAACTACACACCAACATCGTCTAGGGAGGGCAGAATAGTAAAAAGGCATCCATCCATAAAGCTCCACTACAAAGATACAACGCTGAAGACAGCAACCGCCATGGCTACTTCGCGAGATAAAGCTTTAGAGGAAACGCTGGAGACCAGATCGAGATGGGCCAGGTCCAGCCAACTCACCACGTCATCTGCTGCCGCAACCAGGGCACGGGCAAAGGCAGAAGCTGCCATCGCTCAACTCTCTTATGCTCAAAAAGAAGCCGAGTTATTAAAGGAGCAAGCTGAACAGCTGAAGAAGAAGGCTGAACTGGATGCGGATCTGCACCTACTCAAATCAAGAAAAGAGGTAGCAGCAGCGCTAGCTGAGGCTCAAGCTTGGGAATCGTCCATGCAGGAAAATGGAGACCCACAACAGTCCAGACTAGACATTTTGCCACCTATTGATCCAGATAAAAGGACACACGAGTATGTGCAGCAACAAGCAGAGCTACTAAACGGGATGCAGACGCTCCGCATTGCAAATACTGAGCCGCCACAGCTGCCACCCGTCGCAAACAACAAAACAACAATCGATAGAGAGATAAGTGAACACCAGTTTAGTCAAGAGTTCCAACCGCTACCACAAGCAGAGACAAATACCAGCAACGTACAACAGCAAAGATTGCCCCACGTTCTCTACAATCCTGATAACGTGCAGTGCAGCAGGTATTACACCCCCTATGCAGCAAAACAGAACAATGGTAACCAAACTAGCTATCCTCAGCACACTATGCCTACACCCAGACCCGCAGACAGTAGCCCCGCAGATGCATTAGGTCTAGCTAAGTATCTCATGAGAAGAGAAATGGTCAGCTCAGGATTATTAAAATTTGACGACCAACCAGAAAATTACTGGGCTTGGAAAGCCTCTTTTCAGAGTACAGTACAAGAACTGAACTTGTTACCACAAGAGGAGCTAGACCTGCTTTCCAAATGGCTTGGACCTCAGTCTGCTGCACAGGCCAAATGCATTAGAGCTGCTTATGTAGGCAACCCCATGGTAGGTCTGCGCATGGTATGGCAAAGATTAGAGGACTGTTTTGGAGCACCAGAAATCATAGAACATGCCCTGCTAAAGAAAATTGAAGACTTCCCAAGGATATCAAACAGGGAAAACCTTCGTCTGAGAGAACTAGGGGACATTTTGACAGAGCTCCAGGCAGCCAAATTAAACGGCTTCCTCCCAGGACTCTCCCATCTGGACACGGCATATGGTGTTAACCCCATTCTAGCCAAACTGCCATATAATCTTCAAGAAAGGTGGGTGACAAATGCCTCTAGATTCAAAAGAGAGAAAAGAGTGGCGTATCCCCCATTCTCATTCTTCGTAGACTTTATAAACGATGAAGCCAAGACGCGCAACGACCCCAGCTTTGCTTGCGTCACAGGAGCATTTGCAATGGGCAACAAAACAGAAAAGACATTCAAACCAAAATACCAAACACCCGTCTCAGTTAGAAAGACCGAGGTGTCACACGCAACAGGGACAATCCACAAGACAAATGAAAGAGACAACGCAGATCCAGAAAAGGATTGTCCACTTCACCACAAGCCCCATCCTCTGAAAAAATGTAGGCTGTTCAGAAGTAAGAGTCTAGCAGAAAGGAAAAACATTCTCAAAGAGAAAAATATCTGCTTCAGATGCTGCTCCTCTGCGCGTCACATGGCCAAAGATTGTACCAAGCCGATAAAATGTGCAGAGTGTAATAGTGAGAACCATGCCACAGCTTTACACCCTGAGCCCCTTTCATTCAAATCAGAGAGCCCTGCTGCCACTGAAGATCATGGCGGGGAGCAAATAGAGACCCGTACTATTGACGTGACATCTAAATGCACTGAGGTATGTGGAAATTCATTAGGTCCTAAGTCATGCTCTAAAATATGCTTAGCTAAAGTGTTCCCTGCGGGCCAGCCAAATAGAGCAGTCAAACTGTATGCTGTCCTTGATGAGCAAAGCAATCGCTCATTAGCAAAAACAGACTTTTTCGATATATTTGGCATCAACGGAGTGTTGGAGCCATACACACTAAAAACCTGTGCAGGTGTCATGGATGTCACAGGCAGGCTTGCAAACAACTTTGTTATTGAATCGCTAGACAGCTCAGTACAAATCTCACTTCCTGCCCTCTTAGAGTGTGACATGCTACCCGATGACAGGTCAGAGATTCCATCTCCAGAAGTAGCTAGCCTCTACCCTCACTTAAAACCAGTCGCGGACAAAATACCCGCCGTTGATCCAAATGCAGACATCCTCCTCCTACTTGGCAGAGACATACTTCAGGTGCACAAAGTTCGAGAACAGCACAATGGGCCCCGCAATGAACCATACGCACAGCGTCTTGACCTTGGATGGGTCATGGTAGGAGAGGTTTGTCTGGATAAAAAACACAAGCCAAAAAACATCAATGTTTACAGAACAAACATTCTTCAAGATGGACGTGCTACTCTTCTCAGTCCATGCGAAAACGTCATCCTGGTCAAAGAGAGGCTAAGCAAAACCGACCCAAAACCCAACACGTCAGTGCTCCCCCTGGAGTTAGAAACAGACGACATCGGAAGTCAGGTTTTCCAAAGAACAAAGCACGA